TCTGCCCTGGACTACTACGGTTCGTAATGCTGTCCACATCTGTGCTTTGAGTGGTGCTGGTGTGGCTCTTTACGATGCCATCACTAAGGGTATGTCGGAGGAGCAAATCTACGCCCTTCTGTCACAGAGGGATCGCTTTGGATGGTGGCCTTTGCACTACGCCATTGACAACAAGGACCCATCTTGTCAAATGGTCGAATGTCTGTCCACATCAGACCAGTTAGTCGATCAGCAAGTTGACAACCTACACATCTTCGTATTCGCTATATCGCGCTATGCGTGGAGACAAGCCTTCCAGATCGCCGTGCTCATGGGTGGACTAAGTGTCATGCCTGATGCCGTGCTAGATCGTGCCGGATCTATGGCTGACTCCCATGGGACCACTGCTGAGTTCGATGAGCTGATCGCAGCCTTGGCTGCTGGTCAGTCGGGTCTGCCCGATGACTTCGAAGAAAGGGCTCTTAGTGGTGGTAGCACTCTGGTCGTCACCGACTCAGGTGTGCTCAATCATATGGGAGTCGACCCTGAGGGCCCGCATGCGGTCGGCGACCTTCATAGCCGTCTGAAGCGCTTCACAAGGGTGGTCGAGAATCCCTCGAGGGTTGAGGTACTCACAGGCGGTGTCACAGGATCTACTCGAGGCACGGTACACCACCCCGAGTTCGCCTCCAAGCTCTTCTTGGAGACTTCGGTCAGTGACTGCCCTATGGTGGACATTCTGCGTGTTCATGATTGGAACTACGTGGAGCCTATCATTTCGAAGTGTGAAGCTCTAAGGAAGCGAGCTGTGGCTGAGGGTGAGACCAATATGAACCGACGCAGTACGCCAATTGACAAGACTGATACAGCAGTCACTGTCGACTCGTGGGCAGCGGCACGAAAGGCCGCTGGCTGTGCGGTACTAGCAACTGACCAGGTTTGCTCTGGTACTGGTTACCGGAACGCTATGGCGATCATTAGACCGCCAGGTCATCATGTTGCCTCTCGAGGAGCTGTGAATCCTCAATTAGAGGACGAAGACGAGGAAGGAGATGGATCACAAGGTTTTGCCTTTTGAATAACGTCGCTATTTCAGCCGCTTACGCCC